AAAATATATGGAGTTTACCTATGATATGTTTTGTACTGCTGAAAGTTGTGCAGCTTTCTCTACTTAAAGCAAGTACTTCAGGTTTCATGGAAGATAATTGATTTCCTCGTATGTCCAGCGTTAGATATCGAACATCAGCGAGATATTTCAACAAACCATCTGGTAAAGTATTAATGGAAGTATTTGTTATTCTTAAAATCAGTTCGTGAGTTTGTAATCCTAAGAATGCATCCGGGAATATTTTTGTTAGTTTCTCTCCTGTTACTGTTAATTCTCTCAGTTTTATTCCGAAAGTCCATTGTAATTGATGATTCAACATTGGTTCTTCTACTTCTATCCAAAAACGCCTCAACGATGAACACTTTGCAAGTAAATCGTGAAGGCGAAACGTCCTGACCGAAGCGTACGTTCCAGTTTTTAGAGTTTTTAAATATCTAAAATGAAAAACAAAACACATATTAAGATAAATTATAACAATAATTGTAATGTAATAAACATTACTCGAGCAATGTTTAGCATGTATTTGCTGAAATAATGCCGAAATTCAAGAATGCCGCCATGTTGAATGCTCGAGTGTCATATACTGTACTTTGAAATGTGCCTCATATGCTGTAATTTGAACGTTAAAATGTATACCTTCGTTGATGAAATACTGTAATGTTTCAATATTCAAATTGTTGTTCAATGCTTGAATACTAGCAACCTACTTTAACGTTGACTTTAACCTGTAATGTTCAATGCTGGAATCTTCTGTTTTAAAGCTTTGTGTAATATAATATATTAAGATGAATAAGAAATTCTGTCATTTAGAAAAATTTACAAAAAAAAAAGCTATACAAAATAAAATGCCGAATTCTTTATTGGGCTATAAAGACAAATAATAATTAAGCAATTTGGCAAGAGGAAGACTACCAGGTCGCCCTCTGTTGTCAAATATAATAACTATAAATAAATTAATTAAAAAAATTATAGTTATTATATTTAACAAGAGATGGCAGCCTGGTAGCGTGCCTCTTGCCAAATTGCTTAGTAATTATGTAGCCATATAGCCCGGTAAAGAATCCGGCTTTTTCGTCTAACATTTTAAATAACAATTGGATTATTTGTATTTATTAAAATAAGCTATAAACAAAAATTCACGTATTTAACACAATTTTATAAAATGCTGCACATAATTATCATGTAAAATGGCGGATCGAAGTTCTTCAAATATCGAAAACGTTTCATCAATAAGAAATTATTTTATAAATTTATAAAATTAACAAACACTTAACTTAAATAATTACAAAAATCAGGAAAAAAAGTAAAATAAACTCGTGGTATTTCTTTAAATTTAAAAAGAAAAGAAAAAAAATGGGGCCGCTTCTCGCGAATTCAAACGTGATGGAGAAGCGGAATTGATAAATGTCTCAAAGGTGACCATTAAAGAGACGTCCTCGTGAATAATTTCTTGGAGGATAAGTAAAATTAAATATTAAAAGATTGAAATAACTATATTTAAAACGTATTCTTTAAAACATTATCATTGAGAAACTCTTCAGAAGAAGTAAAAGTAATAAAAGTTTGTATCCGCAGTTATATTTGAGAAAAATAAAGGAGGAAAAAAAATAATTCTCTGACTTAATAAAAAGATTCTTTTAATTCTTATTCAAACTTGCCATTATCAAATACGTCCATTAATTGTTAAGTTGATGGGGGATTTGTTCGGCAAACTCAGCTTTAATGAGACGATGAGTACATCATTTCTAAAACTGCTTGTTTAAGAATTAACTACGTCAGAAGAGAGGAAAAATATGCATTTTTTTTCTGGAAAATATGAATTTCTACAAATTAAAAAAAAAAGAATTAATGGAGTTGTAAATTCTTCTTGCATTTTTTGAATTTATTTTAATTTTTATTTAAATTTATGACAATGACAGCACTTAGTAACAGTTCAATATACGGCTTTCCTATTTTTTTATATTCATTTTCTTGCNCCCCTATAACACTGTTGATAATTCCGTTTTATATGAATTCCATGTTGTACGAGTCACTTAGATTTTACAAATACGTGAGCCGTTCACTGGCCGGCTCACGTATTTGTAAAATCTAAGTGACTCGTACAACATGGAATTCATATAAAACGGAATTATCAACAGTGTTATAAGGGGGTCGACTGGTATTTAAACAAATTAATAAATTTTTTCCTATATTTTCAATTATTTTTATTAAATTACAGAACATTTAATAGAATTGCAAACATATTTTAAATTATAAATTGAGTCAATTAACATTAAAATTATTTCATAAGATTTGAATTTTTAAGTTATAATATACAGTTTATGCTGTATATATACATTAACTTGAATTATATATATACAGTATATCTTATTCTGAAAAACAGTAATGTATATATACATCAGAATAAAAATATATTCAATATTATAATATATAAATATATATTTTATAAAAATCTAGATCTTTCCTGACTTTATTTATCTTTAATGCTCTCGTATCTAATATTAAAAGTTGATAGAGTGAAGCATTATCTACTCCAGAATAGCTCGCGGTTCCCAACTTGATATAAAAGATCTCCAGATACAAATGGAGTCGAAATTCAACTATTAAATAAATATAAAAATTTCAATTTATTGAATAATTCACTTTTCTCTAACTACATTCTTCTATGGTTAGAGTGTAGAGATGAATTTTACGCTTATTTGGCTGCAATTTTTAAATTATACATTCCCACTGTCGTTAGAAGCGGTTACAACCTTCCTTCTGAGACAGTAGGGACCTCAGAAGGGAGGTTGCACCCCTAAATCCTCCACTATTCAAGTGTCTAAAACCCTTGAACAGTAGAGGATTTAGGGGTGCAACCTCCGCTTACAAGTGTCTAAAACCCTTGAACAGTAGAGGATTTAGGGGTGCAACCTTTACATACAAGAGTTTAGACCCTAATATTACGTAACGTTTCTGTAAACATCCCTTCTGGGAAGGTTTTTCCCGTGTAAAGCCTCAGGTAGTAAAGAATTTTGTAAGGTATATCGTTTCCTTTTCCCATCCCCTCTAAAGGTTTCTGGAGCTACGAGTATGCAATTTTTTACGTCACAATTATATAATAA